ATTACTTCAATATTGTCCCTCTGCCCCAGGATATTACTTCAATATTGTCCCTCTGCCCCAGGATATTACTTCAATATTGTCCCTCTGCCCCAGGATATTACTTCAATATTGTCCCTGCCCCAGGATATTACTTCAATATTGTCCCTCTGCCCCAGGATATTACTTCAGTATTGTCCCTCTGCCCCAGGATATTACTTCAATATTGTCCCTCTGCCCCAGGATATTACTTCAATATTGTCCCTCTGTCCCAGGATATTACTTCAATATTGTCCCTCTGCCCCAGGATATTACTTCAATATTGTCCCTCTGCCCCGGGATATTACTTCAATATTGTCCCTCTGCCCTCGGGATATTACTTCAATATGCCCCAGGGATATTACTTCAATATTGTCCCTCTGCCCCGGGATATTACTTCAATATTGTCCCTCTGCCCCAGGATATTACTTCAATATTGTCCCTCTGCCCCAGGATATTACTTCAATATTGTCCCTCTGCCCCAGGATATTACTACAATATTGTCCCTTTGGCCCAGAATATTACTTCAATATTGTCCCTCTGCCCCGGGATATAACTTCAATATTGTCCCTCTGCCCTGGATATTACTTCAATATTGTCCCTCTGCCCCGGGATATTACTTCAATATTGTCCCTCTGCCCTGGATATTACTTCAATATTGTCCCTCTGCCCCAGGATATTACTTCAATATTGTCCCTCTGCCCCGGGATATTACTTCAATATTGTCCCTCTGCCCCAGGATATTCCCTTGCCCCAGGATATTACTTCAATATTGTCCCTTTGCCCCAGGATATTACTTCAATATTGTCCCTCTGCCCCAGGATATTACTTCAATATTGTCCCTCTGCCCCAGGATATTACTTCAGTATTGTCCCTCTGCCCCAGGATATTACTTCAATATTACTTGTTTTTAAGATTGATATAACTTTGTTTTGCTATCACTGAATACGATCGTAAAACATCACATTATTGAAAACTTCCAACATATAGTGCCGATATCTGGTTTCGAACCTGAAACCCTTCGCTCATTAGCTTAGCGATTTTATCTACTAGGCTACGAAGGATCACTGTGAAGATTAAAATTGTTTGTCATCATGAACCGTGTGTTCCTCACAAGACGGGTAGTGCAGGCAGCCCACGTGCAGGACACGGGTAGCGCGTGCAGAGCATGTGCATTGCACGTGCAATTTGTCAGCTGCCAGTGTCATACCAGTTGATTTCAACAGTAAATACCAAATATTAAACTTATATCTTCGGTCGGTTTATAAGTTGGATATAACATGATCCATGGGCATTATTGAAAAGTAAGCCCTCTACCCTCGGGCCATGTTATATCCTACACATAACCTGTGTTGGAAGTAACGTGACTATATGACCTACCGAAATACTGAATAATTTTACATGCTAACATGTCTATACAAGATAGGATATATCAGCAGTTTCAACCATGTATCCTAAATATGTGCATAAATATCTGTAGAGTGTAAATTTCCGTTTTTAGTATAGAAACAGCGTTGTTTTTTAATTTGTTTTGTGAGATATAAAAGGATCATAAGCATATACAATAATGATCCTTCACTGTCATATTGTCATCATTTGTATCTATAGATGAAGAGAACCTCAATGTGCGTCCATTTGTTTTTGTGGTTGAAACACATCACACACTTCCATTGTGGGTCAATGTCCATAGATAGCTTGAACAGTAATAACACAAAATATATGAACAAAATACAATGCCTCATGAAAAAATTACCTGAAAATGTAATAATAAATTTTGTATGGTCTAATGAATCAGGTTTTTTTCCCACATATAGTTTAATCAGTTGACAGAGGAAATGTTGAATTATGTGATGGATACAGGCCTCACCTTACAAGCCAGTGGGTAGTTTGTTGGTTGTTTACGCTCCACTATCTGGGACGCCCCATGCTTGTGTGTGATAAGATTACCTTGTACGCAAACACACCTGAGATGTTTATGACAAGATAATATCGGACTCGTCACAGGGTGTTGGTTCTATACAGCTGTTTATTGTCACGTCACATTAACAAAGAAGACATGGAATTTTACCAGAAAAAAACAACAGAGCAAACAGACAGGATTTGATTTACAAAATTAACAGATCTGAAGGGAGAAAGAACCGAAGAAAGAATGGGAGAATGGACATTTTTGGGGCCTGAAATGTTTCTTAGACTATACCTATGCAGGGCTCGATTTAGTGCTTTGTTACTTGCACTGGTGCAACCCAATATTGCAAAGTGCAACCTCGTTATTAGTCTTACTTGCACCAGGTGCAAGTCATTTTTTGAGAAATAAATCAACAATAAATCTAACAATATAAACATAAATATGTCAGCTCCATTTTGTTCTAAACTTTGAATAGCTATGGCATGAAACATTGCTATTCATAGACACGGCTCGGCTGATAGCTCAAGATTGTAAACAGGGATCAGCTGTGTCTCTGTGTTGCTATGGTTTCAATGGTACTACATGACAGAAATATTTATGTGCACCGAAACCTCTGATGTTTTAACACACTAGGTTGACTGGTGCAACTAGGTTTTTATCTTAGGTTGCACCTGGTGCAAGTAGGTTAACATCTCTTAAATCAAGCCCTGCTATGTGCAAGTGAATAAAGATTCGAGACCTGAATGTTTTGTTCAACAAGTTATGTCTCGCACCAGTTATTCGTCACAGCTGTCTATATCACATAGGTTTTAGAAACAGACAAGAATACATGTATATTTATTACATATCTGCTGGCGATGAAGCCAGTATTACAGGTGATCACTAGTTTCAGGTAGACAGGTTTTAAACATGTCCTTTCATGCTATCATTGAGTGGCTGAAATATTTGTGTTCTGTGTAGGTTGCCATGTTACAAATGAAAATCATAGCGGTAAAGAAACATAATATCCAGAATGTCAGATAATCATCTTCATAAGTGGTTGTGAAGTGGTAAAGAAAAGTGAAACATACAGAATTGTTACGTTCACCAGCGAGAAATTTGCAATAGCTATCAATGACTGTAGACACAGTTGTCCATAAGTTTTAAGTCAGAACCAAGACTGCATGTGACTGCATCTTCCTTGTGTGTAGATAGGACACTCGCTCACTCACAGTACTTGCAGTACGTGGGATATACTTCTCTGATATGATTGCAATACATTATGCATATAAACATGAAGTTTATCTTGATAAATGCATTACCCTTCTCAAGTTTCTACGCTTTACACCCACGAACACATGTTACAAGATGATATTATATTCGCGTGTGTGTGTGCACTCATCTGAACTTTGTGCTGAGATAACATGCTACAGGTTAACATGGAGAACCCACTCAAGGGATGACCATAGTCCACGATATTTAGGTCGCTGTGTTTCAGCTGTATGTAGGTCAACTCCAATGCTTTTTCTAGCTTTACAGAACTAGTATGTAACTGTTGAGTATGCTTTCAAAATTTATTGAAAAACATTTCTAATGTCAAACAAACATTGTATGACAGTACTCCCCACAGGCTGAGGAATGTGTCGTCAGGTTCAAGTGTTTATGTTATGGAAGTGAGAGATATGATTTTGAAAGAATCTGTTGTGCAGCCCATAACAGTTGTTTAGCGGACCTTTCGTAAACTTTGAATGACAAGAAAATGCATCTGACAGTTTCCCAATCTTGTAATCAGCTCTCTGATTTGAGGGAAAGGTCGGCTGACATGACCCATTATCGTATGCCTATATTTAGTGATGACAGATTAGACCTGTCCTGTGCTGGACACACATACTCAGTCAGAGACACTTCAAAATTCTGCCATATCACTCTGTAAATGAGATTGCTCCTGCTTATTGTCAAGAACGGACTTCAAAATATTTTCCTTTCAGCTGGGCCCCGTTTCACAAAGCTATCGTAGCGCTACGACTGTCGTAAGTCTGTGTTACAGTACAGGAGGTACAACAGTCGTAGAGCTACGATAGCTTTGTAAAACATTGACTGATCAACTTCTCGCAGATGTTCCTGTGTATGAATGGAAAACAGTTGGTTCAAAATCTTTCAGTTAATTAGAAAACTAACACTTATTCTCTGAAAATATATAATTTTGAAAAAAGGAAATTGCTCCATTTATAATAAAAAAAGAGCCCTGACAAAATTTGAGATTCCGAACCTTATACTGATCCCGAGGCAAATCAAGATTTGCTTCAATCAGAACAGAAAAGGCTGAGAGGGAGGGGAAGTGATATGGTTCAGGGACTGTGGGGTAGAGACAAAGAACACTAAACGATGTCCCGTGTTTTACCATATTTATGAAACAAGTGAATGGTTTGGTATCTAACGAGTGGAAGCGGTATTACTGTCACGGGACATCGTTTAGTATTTTATTTATTTCTCACCAAACATTAGTAAATAATATCTCAGAATTCAACTTACAGAACAAGCGCATTATGCTGTCATAACACGGGTCACGTGTATGAATACAGTTCATTTATGATTGTCAACATTAGTCAATTTAATTTTATTTTGTAAAAAATAAACAAGGGGGTGTGAAAAAATGGACCAGATGACTTCAACCAACATTTTTTTTTTTATATACATGCTTTTACACGCAGCGGAGCAAAAAACAGTTGAAACTTCTTTCCTAAGAATTCAACGAGTGCATTACGCTCACACAACTGTGACCGAGTGCAAATAGTTCCGACAATGTGTAATAACATTGTAAATTTATTAAACAGTGATATCATCAACGGATGAGTAATAAAGTTAGTTAGTTAATGAGATGCATCACAATGGAAATACAACCCATTAAAGCTGATCATTAATTCCCCACACTGAATTTTAGTACGAAGTTATAGCCATGATGTGACATGTGCATTAACCACAAAGAAGCTCAGAAATGTCATATGTGTCAGTTGTGGATGTTTAATGCCCATACGTACATAACAACCATTGCCTATCTCACTGTGTAATACTGTCTGAAAATATGTACGTTCTTCTGCAGGAAACAGGAAGTAGAAATAGCTCGAGAGTTGGCCGTGGCTGATAACAAACACCAACATGAAACAGCGGCCCTGGTAAGACAGAAGAACCTGGAGAAGGAGGCAGCTGTTCGTCAAGCTCACCAACAGGAACAACAAGCTGCAGCTGATCGGCTCAACCGAGTCAAGGAGGAGTATGACTTGAAGGTTAAACTCCTGGAATCAAAACTTGAGAACAGAGAGTCTGAGATTGCCGACTTGAAGCAGCAAATCCAAGACATTGAGAAGATGAAGCAGAAGACCGAAGATTGTTTGATAGAGACTCGGAAAGAGCTTCAGAGTGTTGTCCAGCATATAGGGGGATTTAGTGATGACCAAGCCAGCTTTCTGATGCCATCGCTGTATCTGGATGAAGTCCAGAAGGTGTAGGAATACATGTAGCCATTGTACTTAGTATCGACATCTACCAATATGGCATGGATACGTCCTAGTGCATTATCTACGCACAGAAACTCCAGTTTTGGAGATATTACCCAAAGAATTGTCCAAAAATGGTTTCTTGTTATTTAAACAGGGTTATGCTGTGAACGTTATCATCAGTATTAAATATATGGAATTGTTTACATTTTTAACCAAGGATTTTATACTGGATTGTATATGTTTAACTGAGTCCTGTCCTGTGTTTAACTCTGTGATCTTGCAGCAGTTAGGTGAGGATGTTTTGCTGAGGTTTTCTTGATTTGCCACTACATGTTGTATAGAATTAGGGCTGCCACATCATGTACTGACTGGTAGGACAATGGAGGTGGCAAGGATGGGGATGGGGGGGTGCACAGGGCATAACCTTCTGTGGGTCATCTTGAACAAGTCAGTTGAGTTGTAAACATATATTTGTAACATCCACGACTTTTCTGATATGCTTTTGTTTCATGCAATAGATATTTATGTTATGTGGACATGTAGAATAGGACTTCTCCATCTCTGAAGCTGTAGTGAGTACCCTGGTAGCTAAGGTTTCGGCCACCATTATCTTTGTTCACCAGTGTATGAATGTTCACCAGTGTATTTGCCATTTTGCAATGATGGGACCTGGTACAATGTGAATACATATACAGACAGTCTTGATGACATATGCAAACAGTCGTGAGTTTAAGTCCCCCTTGGATTGACTGTCACTCTGTGTCATGCTTGTTTCATTCCACCCCTTTTCTTGAAAAACAGGATTTCCGTTAACCGTCGTTGATATGGAGGCAAATCGAGATCAAACCATTTTGTTCTGTTATTTTATCTGACAATTTTCAAGCTAAGAACATGTAGTTATGTTATAATGTTTGTGGTTCGTTCTCCTTTCCAGTTGTCACACATCGGTCACCTTTTGCATTTTTTTGTCTGTTATTTTGCTTTGTTTGATGGTGATGCTTATACAGTCTGTTTTGTCTGTTCTGTCGTCAGTATTTATTCATGGGTATGGAACATGCCACACATGACATCATGGATTGGTATTCCAGTGAGTCATGAGTCATACCAGGGTTCTGGGTCCCAATCCACAAAGTGTTCTTAATGTTACGACTTGTCATAATTCTATACTTTATCATAGGCTACGAAAGGCATAGCACTACGAACGCTTTCTGGATCATGACTCTGTTCCACATAGCGATCTTAGTGCAAAGGTGATCGTAACTTCCACATTTTAACATTGGCTTGTGGTAGTCTTAGTGCCAAGATCGCTATATGGAGCCTGGTAAATGTGGCAATGGCTGCATGTTTCTATTTGCAGATATGTGGAATTAATGTCATGGTGGGATGGGATTTAATGTCATAGTGAAGATTATCCCACTTACATGGCATCCTGTGTGTATGGCTGATTGTACGAGGTTCAGTGCCTGTGTTTTATAGTGCTAGCCAATTGAGATACCATCCGCAGATACAATATACAAACATGGATACCCACTTGGTGTACAAGCTGACCAGTCCATGTTTATCTAGCAAGGGAACAAGTCATTTTAGAGTTTTTGATGTAACGGCCAGAGGTCAAATCACCAACCTTCACCATCTGGGGAACAGCTGCTTTGCCACGTACTAAACCAGTAAGGTGTAGTATTCGGAACCAGTATTGACATTAGTAAAGGAATTGGACCCATGAAGAACCAGGTTTAGAATTGGTCTTCAGCAAATCATGCTTGCTGTAAGAGGCGACTGATGGGATCGGATCGGATGGTAAAGCTCGCTGACATGGTTGACTCATGTCATCGGTTCCCAATTGCGTAGATCGATGCTTGTGATGTTGATCACTGGATTGTCTGGTCTAGACTCGATTATTTATTCACTGCCACCATGTAGCTGGAATATTGCTGAGTGTGGCGTTAAACAACAAAACAAACATTGTCACTAAGGTGACATAATCCCCCGCCGCAAATTATCAAATCAAACTTATAAAGTAATGAAAGTTTAAGTTAAATGTCAACAAAAACATGACCAGTCAACCTCTCTTGATGTCTTGCTCTTTAGGTGTTCAAACACACACATATTTTCAAGACTGACTTTGACATGAATGTCATAGTGTATGAAATATGCAAAAATAGTACTAAAGAAATTGCTTTTTGAAAAACATTTAAGGGAAGTCTTGAAAGTCTTTGAAGAAGATCCAGTGAACTGTTTTTGAAATATCTTGCTGACAATTCAGGTTAACATGCTCAAATCTTCAAAGTGTCTCTGTGACCTTGAAAATTAAGTGAAGGTCACCAAAATCGACTGGGCCCTGCGCCTTCCCTAGATAAAGCTTTGTATTGAATATGAAGAAAATCCAGTGAACGGTTCTTGAGATAGCTTAACATGCAGGTAAAACGTTAAAGTCCCCTTGTGACCTTGAAATTAAGGTCAAGGTCACCAAACCTGACTTGGACCTTTCTTATACTGTGATGAACCTAGGTACCAATTATGAAAAGAATCTAGTGAACGGTTCTTAAGATATTCCAATTTGCGTACGGACGGATGGACGGAGCGTAATACTATATCCCCCGCTTCGAGCTAAATGCGCGGCGGGGGATAAAAAAATAAAGTAAAGGAAATCTTTAAGAAATCAATGACATTCTGTTCATGAAGGTGGGACAGAATCACACACTTTCCCATGGCCACAAATAAACTCTTATGGTATATTTCTCTCTCTCAAATTTCTGATAGATTAAAGTGATGACCTTGAAGATTTAATTTCCAGAAAACCGTGATGTTGAAATAATGTGATATAGGATATTTCACAGCGTCTATGTCCAGTTGTGAAAATAATTATGAATTTGCATGTAGACGTGCTCCGTGACAGCTTGCGTGTGGGATGGGAAAATATATGAATAAAATTGACATATGTCATTAAATATACATAAAAATTATTCATTGTGAGATACAGCTAGATAACAGTGATATTTCGATTAAAAATAAAATTCATGACACTCAACTGTTGGAGAAAGACATAACGTTATCATAATGAAATATAATGTTTGATTTTGATGGTTTCTGTTCAGAATAAATTAGTTGGTGAAGGATATGGACTTCATGTGACATGTTAACTGTACTGTCAATTAAGTAAAAACCTATGTTACTGTAAAATATAATTAATTTAGCTTGTTTGATATATATTGGTGTGTAATAAATATACATACTACCTTGACAGGTGTGACAGCTGATATCAGTGTCCTGTTTGGTTGGGTTTATTGCCGATTCTAGCAATAACACAGCGAGGGAGGACTACAGAAATAGGCTGGTCACATTGTATCCTTGTAAGGAATCAAACCCGGACCTTCGAGGTGACAAGCTAACAAACCGCAAGACTACCCCAACACCTTGTTTCAGAAGTGATATTGTGTTTCCATCTTTCAATATAGCAATATGTAGATGGTCTTAGAAATAGAAAAAGAATATAATACACTGAAGAATCTAGGATGAATGTTAGTTTGATATTTTCACTGTTCCATGCAGGAGACATGCTGTGATATGAATATTTAACATGGAACAGAAAATGGATGTGGTCATGTGAATAATTGTAAATTGCCAAAACAATATGCCAAATGTCAGAGAGTGCCATGTCATCTTGCATAGTTGTTTCTGAAGGAATATATATACAGTGGAAACCTGATAAGTAAAATTTCAAGGGACTCACCAAAATTGTTTACTTATCAGGTATTTTACTTATCCAAACTTATAAAAACATGCAAATGACAACCATATGCATGTATATGTATGCATATGTAACAATGAACAACTTATCAGGGCTGGCCTCCAGTTGTCAGTGTATTGTCAACTGCTTGACGCCAGCGAGCTATAAGTAGGATGTTTGTTTGACTGGAGACTGACACGACTGCCCCTCATGTCGGATTATGTGGTAATCACTAATTTAGTAATCCGATCTCTTTTGTTAAGTAATTTACTTCCATGGACCGTGAGAGATGTTTAGTTAAGCGGTATTGTTTACTTATCCGAGTTTAGTTAACCAGACTCTAATAGTGATAATTAATGAAGAAAGTTGCCGGGACCAAAGAAAAGTGTTTACTTATCAGGTCTGTTTAGTTAAGCGGTCTTTACTTAGGCGGTATTGTGTTGAGACTGTCACAAAGATGAGAATCCACTATCCCTGATGGCTTTTTTATAACATGGCATTGAGGCCAATATTCCATGGCTGTTTGAAGCATTTCAAACAAAAATCAAATTTTAACAAAAACATGATGTTGATTTTGTTTACTGAGGCATTATTATTTTTTTACTTTGTAATTTATGAACTTTTCTTGATTTACATATTGACAAGATGAATTGTACATAAGTTTAGTCAAAAAATCTTTAATGTAAGTCAAGACTCATATCAAATTACTTTTTTAGAAACATTAAACAACCATCCCCATGGTTTTAAAAAAAAAAATCATTCTGTTAAAGACGAGAAATTACCCAGCAATGGCAGCAATGTGATACTTGTGTCATTAGTATTTGTATTTCCATAACAAATGGCACGATTCCAAATTTTTTGTTCTACTTGTCTATATACTTTGATATATACCACTCAAATCTGCTAAGGACATGGACTAAAAATGATTTTTTTGTTCCTAGCATGTGTTGAGTAATATATGTTGTTCAAGTAGCTGCTGTACTAGTTTCTGACTCTGACCTTATTATTTTTACATAAACATATTTGACCTGAGTCACCTTGACCCTCAGTTTAATCCAAGCCTGAACTGTGTGACCTTCAGCATTGTTATATCCTGTCTGTGCAATATACACGAATACCAGCAATACAGATAGATGTAGAGATATTATTTGTCAATGATGGTGATAACAGTTGGTCACAATAGCCAACAGTAGGTCACAATAGCCAACAGTAGGTCACAATAGCCAACAGTTGGTCACAATAGCCAACAGAGTGAAAACAATCGCATTGTTTGTTGTTATGTTGCATGTTCTTCAGTGCAGCCTATTAGTGTACCGAAGGTTCAGACTCGTTCATCAATCCGTCCACAGCTTCCTCAGTCAGTACATTACAGCTTGTATACGCCATGTTCCTCCGTCAGGTAGGAATAAACTAATAAATACTATAGATTCTTCAAAACACTACCTTTTCCTTCATAACTTCTTTGTGGCATTTAGAAGTTGGTGTGATGAACAACGGGGAGACCTGCTTGATAACGGCAATACTAGCTACGTCGAAACATTGCTCATTATAATAATAAAGAAATATATGTATTCAACTCTCCCTGGTGTTCTTATTCCTTCATGTTACTCCAATTAATTTATAACACTTTGAGAGATTAACTATATTGATATGAAAGAATTGGGTGATCCTCAACTTATTTTGAGAAGCCAAAATGCTGTTGTTGATGTGTCCTTATCATCAGCAGTAAGACAAGACTAGGTATCTCATAAGTAAGCTAGATGCATGAAGTTCCTGCCGACGGACATACCCCTGCCTGATGGAAGCAGTGTGAGAAGTAGCTGCAAGGTAGTCGCAGATGTTGCAACAGAGATGTTACCACTTGTTTGATGCTGTCTGGGAGGTCATTGAGCGAAGTAGTTGTGGGTTTCCTTCAAACTTGAGTGAGTTAAGATTTATTGTCACATCGGCAATATTTCAGCCATATCGTGACTTTAACAAATTACACATTCATAATAAATGTAATTAACTTGTACAAAAACTGTTGGCGCCTCCCAGTAGAACCAGACCATGACCACAACATGGCCACATGTATTCTCGATGATAGAGGAACGTAGTGTATACTAAGCTGTGAAGTAGTGATAATTTTCCAGCTTCTATTCCAAGTATATGATGTATTTCTTCCTATAACAACCCATGCTTCCATATAAACAGTGGTGATGTGTCTTCTAACCAGTGTTTAGTCTTTACATGTGGATATATCCAGAGTTGAAAGTCTCGGCTTCAGAATAAAGTGTACTGTTTTCTAATGCATGTGTTTGTTTTATATCTGTCTGACTCAGTGGTGTTTTTTAGATTTTTGGGGTGAATGTGATGTAGATGTCGACATGGTTGATGCTCCCAGTAAGTAAAAGAGTGACTGAGTGAGTGATGGAAGGAAAGAGTGATGTTGATTATACAAGCAATGGCCCAAGCAGCTGTAAAACAGTGGCACACAACGAACAGAGTCGGAGAGTGTGACCTTGTTACAAGCAAAGGTTTACGGTGCCCGATTCTAAAACGGAGTGAGACATGAAACAAGGGCCATGATTATATGACCAAACCAATTGACGAGAAACTGACAACAGCAGATTATAAAAAAACAACATTTATTTACAAGATGATGACACCGAGATGACAACAAGTGCTGCTAAGTTCCGCTGTCCTGAATGAACTGTTTCTGCACCTTGGCAACTTTCCGGAATTCTTCAGCCAGAGTCCGAGGGCACTGCATCTTGCACCAGCTGACCGGCACCATGCTGCCCCCTGGTGGCCACATACAAAACATTAGGAGTCATTCAGGAGTGCTTTGAGGCGTAGGGGCTCAGATGTTCTTTTAGAGACACATTATTTTATCAATCACTTGACATGCAATATTTTTTCAGGAGGAGACGATCATTCTAAATTCACCTACACATGGGGTGAAATGGAGTTTAACTAGGGTTTCACGTGATGCAGAAACTGTGAATCCAGGATACACAAAAGTGTATAATTGACACAGAAAAGAAAATATATTTCACACCATGGGCTGCACTAAGACATTCAATGTACAGAATTCTTTACAGGAAGTACAAAGCTTCTGTAATTAAAGTAATTATGAAATCTTACTGTACACTACACATTTCATGACTTCACAAGACCTCTTATATGAATGAACTCACCTGCTTCACTAGTTGCCATGACAACTCCCAACTCATTTTCAGCAGTACTCAGAAGATATGAATGTGCATCTCCCAGTGATAACTTGTCTCATCAGGAAAAAACGTCTTTGCATATCATTACATATTCAAATTTATTCATTTCTGTTTAGTAGGCGACAATATTCTCTTTGCTTTTGTAATGGATCTAAAGGCCAGAAGCAAAACTTTGAAAAAGTTGCATAGTCAGATTTTTTCTTTACTCATAGCCCTTTGAAGGATAAGAAAAATCACAACAAAAACAATATAAATACAGTAACTTCATTTTTATGTAAAAGTCAGGCCATTTGATGAAATGTGAGGTGAGGTGAAATGGGGTTTAACGTCGTACTTGAATATTTTGCTCATTTCACGACGTGCATGCGTGTGTATGTGTGGCTGCTTGTACTAGCCCAGCCTTAAACTGGTTTTATGGTGCTAGCTAACTGAGATACCATGCCTCAGTTAAGCATGAATACCCAACCCAGAAAACATTATACTGACTCCGAGCTGACCATTCCTTGTTGTACCCATTAATATCAAGCGCCAGGCAGGGAACACCAAGTACCATATTTTAACGTCTTTTGGTATGACACGGCCACGGATTGAACCCGCGATCTTCCGCTCTCCGGGCAGACGCTCTAACCACTACACCACAGAGGCAGTCCTTAATGAAATGTATTTAAAGTAGCCAATGACACTACTAACAGTATATTTTTTATGACAGACTAACAGCAATACGAAAGAATCTTGGTGTCCTTACGTTTTTGTGAGTTGTATAAAAATTGAACAATGTGAGCTGGGTCGTGAAAAACAGTACTGAACTGGTACTGAGGCAATGTAAGGATACAACACGGGCTACGATGATGTCACCTGGCCGAAAACACTTGTACATCTCCACCTGTAGATGAAGTCACATGACTGAAGTATACACAGCTACAATGAAACAGCTATAAATCATTAAAACTTTTCTCTTATTCAGTTTGAATTTGTCCCATTTAAATAGAAAAACAAACTTTAATGATACTGGTTTAATAATTAGTTCAATCTCTTGGATAAAAAAAAATGATTAAATTTTCCATCTTCTCTATAAGTTTAAATTCAAGTCATGTATGAAATATACATACCTTGTCCTTTTCCGTACCTCGGACATCATCTCGTCTGTAAAGGCAAAATAATTATTGTGTACTGACAGGTTTAAATAAATAGCATGATTGTACATATATTTTATGTGTGCTTCATGAAATTTCCAAGATAAATATCAGTGTTTGTGTGGTTAATGCTAAATACCATGCTCAGATATTATTTCATGTGTGACAGCAGTCTGCAAATATTAATTCTGGAGCATACGATCCAGTGATTGACAGTATCTGCATAATAGGGAAGCAATGATTTGCATCGATCGAGTCAGGAGGAGGCCACCCCACCTCCTCAGTCCCATCTTCCCTTTCAATGAGTGAGTGAGTATGGTTTTATGCTGCTCCTAGCAACATTCCAGCAATATGATTGGAAGACAAGAAATGGGTTCTTCTCTTTCACCTTCCAAGAATACCAGTAAAACATATACTGTTCCTTATCAAAATAACATCAGTTCAGTAAGCTCCATTTGGCCATGTATGTAAGGAGTCTGTTTATCTCACATCTTCCCTTGTCAAGTGAGCTAACTGACCATAACAGCCCAGTTCACAACCGTGACAATATCGGCTTTGATTTGTGGCTCAATCATATTGCCACCAATGTCTGTTAAATGTTACATCTCTGCTATGTCCATCCTATTGACCAATCAGATTCGGTCTCTCAAATCACTTGCATTTGCTTTAAAAATGGTGACACACATTTAAAATGATCTGACTGGCAATCAACATTTACATTCTAATAAAACATGTTTAGCCTCGTGAAGTCCATCAAATCACTTGAGCATGATGACTTAAAGCATGAAAGATTTAGAAAATATCACGCCAATCCTGCAACTCACCAACATCTGCACCACCTTACAAACCAGATGTAAATTTCTGGACGCAATTTTGATTGGACTACACATAGAATCTCAACCAAAACATAAAGGAAGCTCAAGCCTAGTTTGGCATCTTCATTGTTATAATCATTTACTCCCTTGTATCACAAAGATGCTTGTCTGATGGAGAAACACAACAACAATCTTATCATCATATAATCAGTGGAGGAAACATCATCTCTCGTACCTGACAGTCCCTCGGAAGGTTTCTCTTAAAGGTGTCTTTCCCACACTGAGGATAGCACACTTACAGAACCTGGGATTGACGTTTGTAACCTGAAATGTAGAACATTCCCACAAATCAAAGCTTTAATGATGAAGTGATCACAAATCAAAGCTTTAATGATGAAGTGATCACAAATCAAAGCTTTAATGATGAAGTGATCACAAATCAAAGCTTTAATGATGAAGTGATCACAAATCAAAGCTTTAATGATGAAGTGATCACTAATCAAAGCTTTAATGATGAAGTGATCACAAATCAAACAATTCTTTTTGTTGGTTTATGAAACTGACTCCCTGAAATGTAAGAGAAACTAGAAAAAGAAGAAAAGAATTTTTGACAAAAACAGTGCAGCCCACCAATTGCTAGTGTCAGCTTCCTTATTTGTGAACAGTACAGCCAATTGTTCTGTATGTTGCATCATAACCTTTTTTTGCCATGTTTTCAACAATGAATCACCTTGGTCATTTTCGTATTCTATCACATATAAAAAAAAATTGGTCAAGCTTAAGTAGAGGACATGCGCATATTTGTACAAATCCCCACTAACCACGTTTATGAAAGAATGAGATTGAAGTATGTCCAGATTATCATAAATTCCAAACTCAAACATATTACAGGTTGTTGCACTTTTATTTATTACAGTTATGTCCCTTTGACTAACCTCTGATCTACACTGACACATTAACCCAAGTTAAATATAGGTCCTGCAAACACCTTAACATATAAAGCCACCAATCATGCCAACAAATATGACAAGCTGCACATCTTCAATCCTCCATTAAGCATTGAAATTTCGCTCGAAATGATAAGCAGTAAAAAGTTGACCTACCCGAGCAGTGACAACAGCATCAACAGCAGGAACTACATTCTTGCTCACATCAGCCCTTACTTCAACCCGTTTCTGTCAAACAACACCAAACATGCATGAAATGTGTAATAGTGATGAAATCTGGAACTAGAATTTGAACCTACACAGCAGCATCAAGAAGACGTTAACAACATGTAAGCAGTGTGGCCCTCTGTATGTACATTGTTTTCTGAAACAGAATGTCAAAATTATGTAATGTCATATTTTTTATGCTGCTGATCCTGACAATCAATAGATTTGTTTTTGTTTAGATGATGTTGAATGCCACACTCAGCATAATGACAGCAGTCTGTGAATAATCAAGTTTGACCACACAATCCAGTGATTGATATAGTGAGCATCTGCCAAGTCATCAAGACTGAGCACCCATAGGAATCTTTTTAAACCTGAAATCTCTAGAGAGGGTAGTCCAGCATATAACTAGATGACTTTGCACTATACCAAGGTGTGCTCGATGTAGGCCTTGGCTGGAATACGAGTTTATTCATATGAACTATAGAGAGGGGTAAAAACAAGTAGACATTAAAACTATACCTTTCCTTCTTCAGTTTCATCCGTATGTAGAAACCCTGCAAGACTTGAGTAGATGAAGCCATTTCGTTTATATGTGCCCTCCCCAGCAACATAGCTGTCACCTTCCCGAAATATTCTCTGACCTGCGTCGAAAGGAAACAATATACTTTTCAGATATTCAGTGAAATAGCTCCTAAATCAAGTGAGAGAAGTCCAGTGGAGTGCCGCGATGGGGTCCTACAATCATGATATGGCCTTGACTGAGGGACTGGTGCAACAGTAGGGAAAAAGACCAGCGTTAGTTACAAATATTTCTTATACCTGGACAAAACAATCCACGTGTTCTGAATAATTGTGATACTGATAGGTGACATGTTTGTGTATAGAATGATAACTTAATAAAAAGAAAAGGCAACACTAAATCAGTATAATTGTTCGGTAAGACTTAGGTATTTATAACGATATTCCCCAATGTTCATAAATGTCTCCCTATACATGTTCACATTCATGTTTCACGTATCAACAGACACTCGCCTGGTACACACACTGTGGGCGCAGCCATTTTGGAACCGGAAATACAACTAGGAATGTCTCATTAGGAATATCAACACGCGTTTGACGTGGTGTATTGAGCTAGCTAAGGGTGCTCAATATCTAAAACACCAGCAGTTTATTTTTTATTGTGAAAATGCGATCTCAGGGTGTGACCAGTTCAATATGTTTTCCAATTGAGCCCAATAAATTCGTTTCAAACCCTATTATTTCCCTACAAAATAGTGGCACATTCCAGATGACATCCGGTGGGAAGCAGGCAAAATGCAGAATGACAAACGAAAATCGCGCTCCGATCGGTACCGATGGAAGCGTCTGTAAAATCCTTCAACCTCAGCATCAGTGTTCGTAAGTATTTGAACAGACAGAAACGATAATCGCTAAAAGTATCACAAACATATTTGTGTTTTTTATTCATATACCAAAAACGCAGCATATTTCTTCGTAATAATGAAGCACGTGTAACACAAATGGTGTCTGTCTTTCCAAACTGTGAACAATTTATAATATATGTTGATGCTTTGGGCATGTTTTAGGGTAAGGATTTGCCGCTTTATAAATATGATGTGATTGGTACTAGTATTAAGTTATATCGAGTACGAAATTATGAAAGATTACTAGATCTATATAGCCTCTGTCATTCCGAGTGAAAATCATGTCTTTGTATTTCCAGCTATCGACAGCAATCAAAACTTCACAGATAACTTCGTCCAAAATACTTAATTTCCAAGTGAATACGGACAAAATTAAGAATATATATTACATGTACTATTAAATTTGGACCAAAGAATGTTGGCATTAGCTTGTTTACTTAATTATTACTCTCCCCGGTACATTTAGATTACGTAACGATCGTTAGAAAGTATTCTTAGAATAGGGTCATATGTCTCACGTTGTTGGACTGGCATTTATTGTCCGTTTGATTTCATTTGAGACCGATGAATTGCTCACTAACACAAAATCTAAGAATGAGGGACCACTTACTGATAGCACAGCGCAGGTAATCAACAAGCGTGTGCAGTGAAATTTCAGTTTCACACGTACAACTGGTGTATTCCCATACTGCCTACAGTTCCATGGTTTAATATTTATCTAGAAAACAGAACATGTACAATTTGTAAAAATAATATTATTTGTGACGAGTATCATGCTATTTTATCATGTACACAGCTTAATGTCGAACGTAAGAGGATTCTTCCCTCTTATTTCTGTAATAATCCACATATGGACAAATTTATCTCACTTATGAAATCAAACTATACCCCACTCCTATTGAAACTTTCACTTTTTGCTAAAACTGTGCTTAGCCACTTCTAAATTAAAATACCTACCCATATGATATTGTATTTAAACGACTGTATGTTCTCTATATCATTCTGTATGATTTTCGAGAATAAACAATTCTGTTCCAAACAGGTTAAAACAACATGATACGGTCCAGTGATCAGGAAGTGAATACACCGATCTGACCTGTTCTACCCCTGCTAAAATGAACTTGACTAGTTGGGACCTAACCGTACAACTCGCACACCTGGCTGTTCTACCAGCAAGTGGCCCCCCTCGTAAAAAATAGCGGTATGAGACAACAAAATAATGATCGTTTGTAAAAGCAACTTTTTTATTCGGGTGTCCAAAATTAGGAGACAAATCATCAGGGTTGTTCTGTCGATTTCATGTGACTGTGCAAAATGTGGTTTTGTTGCATTTATTAGATTTTGTGTTAGTGAGCAATTCATCGGTCTCAAAGTAAATCAAACCAACTGTAAGTTAACGAATGATGAAGTAGCAACACTTTGTGGGAAAAATTAAAATGAAGAAGTCAACCATAATTTATGTCCATTTTTGAAATGTCTCAAATATTATCTTAACCTGAGACAGACCGCAGCCAGGTACAAATATAGTCTAAATTTGATATTGTAAGGAATCTACTTTGTTGTTGTGCGATAACCAGTATGGCGTACATTCCGGGTGGGTATGTCGTTGTGGTTTACCCCGTGAAGACCCGGGTCAGAATTGTTCTTTAGTAACCCATGCTTGTCGTAAGTGTTGACTAACGGGATCGGGGTAGTCAGGCTCGCTGACTTGGTTGACACACGTCATCGTATCCCAGTTGCGTAGATCGATGCTCATAATGTTGATCACTGGATTGTCTGGTTCAGACTCGAATATTTACAGACCGCCGCCGTATAGCTGGGATATTGCTGAGTGTGGCGTTAAACAACAAACAAACGATCGTGGTGATTTAATATATGACGATGAGATTATCCCTGAGTGGAAGAACATCGAACTTCCGTTACCAGTTCTGAATGCAGTTCAGCCATCTCTAATAACTTCAAATCAAACCCCAATCACCAAATAAACTGGACTTAAGTCACCATTCTGGCGAACAGTCAAACCAACTTCACCAAACGCAAACTCACCAAGCCATTCACATCAAACACTAAAGTCCACCATCAACCGAGATCAAGGATATCTATGCTTGTAGCAGTATTAATCCCACATGTAACAACCTTGCATTGTCATCCCACTGCGTTAAGTTATTTTCTTATCTGTCATACTCGTATATTATGAACAGCATGTAGTGATAACGCACATTGCATTAAAAACTGCGTGATGTTTTTATTTCTCTAATTCCTTTCGTTCATTGATCTATATTTTAGCCTCCTTATCGTCAATGGGCAGATAACTCTGCGTGACCTAGAAATTTTGACAGCTGCCGCCGTGAAATGCAGAAGACGCTGGCTTGACTCAGTATTTTAATGTAACGCAAGCTGTAAGTGTAATAGTTCCATCTGTTGTCAAATATGCAATCAGCATTCATGCAATTGAAATCGCAGTGTTGGCATTGAAAACTGTTTGCGTGAATCATCACTCAGAGTGACATCTATTTATATGATAATGAGACCAGAAATTAGGTTGGACTCGGCGCAGTTTTAGTGCCGATTTGGGATTGCTAATTGAAGCACTTGCATTGAACCATGCTATAGTAAATGATGCCACTTTGGTTTTGATTCAAGCAAGGCATGCCTGCATGTGTATCGGAATTCGTTATCATTTCCATACATACTTTAGGTCTGCATGACATGACACTTTGACAAATATACCGTAAATGCAAAACATAACATTTTACTTTAATAAATAAAACAATATTTCAAAATGTCAGTTCACAATATCATTTGTTTCATAATTTTAGATGATCAAAGTATCATAAAAATTATAGCTGGTGCAGTATACGTAATGGCAAAACTAATTCAAGATCTTCAGTTGTTTCTGTAATAGTTAAGGTACAAATGAGGTTTTATACAAACATGAGAGTCTCATATTGATACAAATTAGTAAATTAAATTAGAGACTTAAATTTTATTTTTAAATTTTTAAAATTTTATTTTCAAGGAGTTGAATTTTTGGCACTTTGGTAACAAACATGTACAGAACTAATTTGGACATTTTTAGCATCACTATTATTGGCACATTTTATTAATTGTTTCTGTTGATATTGATCGATCTGTTGATTGACTGATATATGCATGTTGTCCTTGAGATTAAGTAGAATATTAGCTATTGCTTCTTTTTTATACTTTCCAAGCTTGCATGCACTGCATCTTTACATGCATCTTTACATCTGTCATGATGTTGGAATTCTTAAAGGTCACATGCAACATAAAACACAACTTTGCAGATTCTGATACCTTTCGGTATGGACTTACCGAAACAAATCGTCAAAAATGCAAATTCAACTTATAAAGTTGAAAAATAACGCGACGAAAAAAACCGCGCGAAATCGGAGTTCAAACGATTCACTAATTTTCCCCCGAAAACTGGTTTCAACAGCTGGGCTGCGCTCATAGCACGTGTGCAGTGAAATAGGTTGGCGCAGCTTGGAAGCGGGTTGTCCGGTGAATACTCGGTGAAGGCTTTGGTGTGAGCTATTTTTCTAATGTTTTGTTGATATCTCACAGGCGCGAGCTTTTTATATGTTATGACAGTAAATTAACTGTTTATATAATTTCATTTGTCTATTTCACCACACGTTCTTCTTACCGAGTCACTTTCTCAGTTCGATACTTAAAAGCAATGTCATTATTTAGCGTTGACACAATTTCTAACTGTGATATAGATATGTCGTTGTCACAGACAAAACTCAATGTCTCTTTTTATTGACACCTGTGTGTCTGCCTGCCTGTCTGCTAATGACAATATTCAATACACAGCTGCTATCACTGACCACATGCAATTTGAACTTAACACCAATCAGGCAAAACCATAAACAAAATTCATTGATTTATGGCCCGAGTTCGGTCTCTGTCACATTATGTAATTACACAGACAGGCAGGTGTGATACTTGAACACATGACATGTTATGATGTTTGTTGATTGCAAAATGTTATACACAAAAAATGAGCATGTATTTACCAAACCCAACATCTCTATATATACACACACAATGAGCCGTGAGGGCATCTGCAAATGAACCAGCCGTTACACTTGAGTGCACACCCACCCGCTCTGACTGGGTTCGGTATCCCGGCTGCTTCGTTTCTTGGGAAGTAAACCCAAGTACACAATATTGCACTTTTGATTTGCGATTGTACGCTTATAATTTTGTTTATATGTTTTTTCATAACCAGCAATGTATATTATATGTCATGAATAAGTGATAATTGTGTTTTAATTATGTTTGATTTTTTGGTTGCATGTGACCTTTAATGTTTGTTCAGGGAAAGTGGCCTATAGTTATGAGCTCTTTGTATCAGACAACACTCTTACCACTTAAGGCTTTAGTCCTTAATTGACCCTGTGTGTAAATTGTATGTTGATCTTTGTCTACTTTAAACTGTTTGTCTGGCCTCTGGTAGAACCCTGCTTGACTCTCAAGGATCTGTTGGACATTACTTCAAAATTCTGTGCAGATTCCTTGATCTAACTCTGAGTGTGATATATCCAGAAATGTACAGACGTGGAACAAAGATTGATCTTGGATGTATATAATACGAATCTTATCCTGCAACAAAAATGGGAGCTCCTTTTGAATTCAGCACTGCAACTTCTCATTGGGATAATTTCTACCATTTGTGACACATCACTGAGACAAACAACTGTCTTTTTTAAGATCTGTTAGACTCAAAGTGACATTTTAGCCCAACAGAGTGACTGTATTATGTCCAGAATGTTTAACTCAGTGCAAATTTACCTGAGATGGTACAGAGCTGAATGAAAAAGGTGAAATGGTGATGAACATTTACTGAGGGTAGCCATTGTATCGGGCAACTGTATCTACAAACACTTGCTTGTTATAACATGCACTTCAAGCTATAATCAGTAAACAATTTCTGAAAATGTAACAACATCGCTGGGCTTATTCACTCATAATGTGTGTAGAGCTGATTGATTCTTGAATGAAGCTTGTGCCAAGTCAAATTTTTCATACTGGTTGACTGAATGTTTTTGAGACTGAAAGTGTAGAACACTGTTTGACTGAATGTGTAACACTAGTCTTGTTGACTGAATATGTAACATTTGTTGACTAAGTATGTTACATTTGTTGACTGAATAAGGAACACTTGTTGACTGAATATGTGTCCAATGTGTTGACCGAATATGTAACACTTGTTGACTGAATATGGAACACTTGTTGACTGAATATGGAACACTTGTTGACTAAATATGTGTCGAACATATGACTGATATGTAACACTTTGTTGACCAAATATGGAACACTTGTTGACTGAATAACACTTGTTGACTGACTGAATATGTAACACTTGTTGACTGGATATGGAACACTTGTTGACTGACTTGTTGATATATGTAACACTTGTTGACTGAATATGAACACTTGTTGACTGAATATGGAACACTTGTTGACTGAATATGGAACACATGTTGACTGAATATGGAACACTTGTTGACTGAATATGTAACACTTGTTGACTGAATATGGAACACTTGTTGACTGAATATGGAACACATGTTGACTGAATATGGAACACTTGTTGACTGGATATGTAACACTTGTTGACTGGAATATGTTGACTGAATATGGAACACTTGTTGACTGAATATGTGGAACACTTGTTGACTGAATATGTAATATGTTGACTGAATAACACTTGTTGACTGAATATGGAAACACTTGTTGACTGAATATGGAACACATGTTGACTGAATATGGAACACTTGTTGACTGGATATGTAACACTTGTTGACTGAATATGTAACACTTGTTGACTGAATATGGAACACTTGTTGACTGAATATGGAACACTTGTTGACTGGATATGGAACACTTGTTGACTGAATTGACTGGATATGTAACACTTGTTGACTGAATATGGAACACTTGTTGACTGGATATGTAACACTTGTTGACTGGATATGGAACACTTGTTGACTGAATATGTAACACTTGTTGACTGAATATGTAACACTTGTTGACTGAATATGTAACACTTGTTGACTGAATATGGAACACTTGTTGACTGAATATGGAACACTTGTTGACTGAATATGGAACACTTGTTGACTGGATATGTAAAACATGTTGACTGAATATGGAACACTTGTTGACTGAATATGTAACACTTGTTGACTGAATATGTAACACTTGTTGACTGGATATGGAAACTTGTTGACTGAATTGTTGACTGAATATGGAACACTTGTTGACTGTAACACTTGTTGATATGGAACACTTGTTGACTGGACTGATATGTAAACACTTGTTGACTGAATATGGAACACTTGTTGACTGAATATGTAACACTTGTTGACTGAATATATGACTGAACACACTTGTTGACTGATATATGACTGAACACTTGTTGACTGAATATGGAACACACAATTGTTGACTGAATATGGAACACTTGACTGAATATTTGACTGAATATGGAACACTTGTTGACTGAATATGGAACACTTGTTGACTGGATATGTAACACTTGTTGACTGAATATGGAACACTTGTTGACTGGAATATGTAACACTTGTTGACTGAATATGGAACACTTGTTGACTGAATATGGAACACTTGTTGACTGAGTATGTGTGTCCAATGTGTTGACTGAATATGGAACACTTGTTGACTGAATATGTAACACTTGTTGACTGAATATGGAACACATGTTGACTGAATATGGAACACTTGTTGACTGGATATGTAACACATGTTGACTGGATATGGAACACTTGTTGACTGAATATGGAACACTTGTTGACTGGATGACTGAATATGGAAACACTTGTTGACTGGATATGAATATAACACTTGTTGACTGGAACACTTGTTGACTGGATATGTAACACTTGTTGTTGACTGAATATGGAACACACTTGTTGACTGTAACACTTGTTGACTGAATATGGAACACTTGTTGACTGAATATGGAACACTTGTTGACTGAGTATGTGTGTCCAATGTGTTGACTGAATATGTAACACTTGTTGACTGAATATGGAACACTTGTTGACTGAATATGTAACACTTGTTGACTGAATATGGAACACTTGTTGACTGAATATGGAACAATTGTTGACTGAATATGGAACACTTGTTGACTGGATATGTAACACTTGTTGACTGAATATGGAACACTTGTTGACTGAATATGGAACAATATGGAACACTTGTTGACTGGATATGGAACACTTGTTGACTGAATATGGAACACTTGTTGACTGAATATGGAACACTTGTTGACTGAATATGTAACACTTGTTGACTGAATATGGAACACTTGTTGACTGAATATGGAACACTTGTTGACTGAATA